AATATCAAGCCTGTTACAGCTAACTTCAAGCCCAATCCAAGTAAGCCTTCCCAGCCCATTTTTCTTTCTTCTATAAATCAACCCATTTTGTTCAAAGTCCAGCCTAGGTCCACCTGTTGACTTGTTGACCATTGACTCATTGATAGTTGACCACAAAAAAATAAAAATAAAAAAAAGTATGTCTCACTCCTCTCCCAACCTTGATACCATTTTTCATCCTATTGATAACATTTTAGATGGCTCAAATTATCATATGTGGGCTCAAAATATGGAAGTATTTCTTAGAGGACAAAAATTGTGGCGTTATGTTTCTGGTGATATTCTTGCTCCTAAGCAACAAGACGATGATAGTCTTGATAAGTTTGCATGTCGGCTTGAAGACTGGCATAGTATTCATTATAAAATATTGTCTTGGTTTATCAATACTTTTGTTCCATCCATCCATAGCCTACTTCCCAAGCTTGGTAATGCTCAAGCTGCTTGGGATTTTCTTGCTAAACAATACAACTGCACTCATAATGCTTCGTTGCAGTTCTAGCTTGAGACTAAGCTTTATCAGATGCGTCAGGAATCAAGTCTGTCCATTGCTAATTTCTATTCTCAAGTTGATAATCTTTGGGAACAGTTGTCTGCTGCATTTCCTCACCTCAGATGTTTTGATGACATTGCATTGTTTGCAACCTACCATGATCATCGTAAGTTTATGCATTTTATTATGGCACTTCGTGAGGATTTTGAATCTACCTGGGCTCTCTTTTGCATCGCACACCTCTTTCCACTCTTGAGACTATAGTTGCTGAACTTTTTTCTGAAGAAAATCATCATTCAACCATGAAGATGTAAACTCCAGATTCAATTGTTACTACCATCCCTCAGACTACCTTTGGATCTTCTCTAGACTCAGGCCATTTACCTTCTCAGTCCTCAAAGATTGTCTTCTATATGGAGTGTCGAAAATTGTAGAACAAAAATCAGTCTTAGACCCTCTTGTTGCAAGCTGTTGCTGTGGCTCCAACTGCTCTTGAGTCTGCTGCGGAGCCTTCTTCAGTGTCCACTACTCTCATTGCTACTAACATTGAGGCATTAATTCATCAGGTTTTATCCTGGTCTTCTAGTGTTGTGTCTGTCACCTTAGGTACATCTCTTTGGTTTTTTTAATTCTACATGTAATCACATGACCTCTTATTCCACCATTTTTTCACAAAAATCTACTTTGTCACCCAATCATATCATATATACTGCTGATGGTTCTCATTTATCTGTTAGTCAAATTGGGTCTATTCCTCCTCTACCTTATCTATTGACAACACCTATCTTGTTCACAAGTTATCCTTAAATCTCCTTTCAGTTGGTCAACTTTGTGAATTAGGTCTTCAGCTTACCTTTTCTAATGCTGGTGTTGATGTCGGATCCACAAATGGGTTAACTCATTGTGATAGTCCGTAAGATTGGACGTCTATTTGAGCTCGCTTTTTTGCAGCTTCCATCCCATCTGTCTTGCTCCATTGTTGCTCCTGCCATCTCTTCCTAATTATGGAATTTTTGACAGGGTCATGCTTCTATACCTCGTGTTCATCTTTTGGCCTCCCAAGGACACCTAGGTTCTATAGGTTTTGATTCTTTTGATTGTGTTTCCTATCAACTTGGCAAGCAAACTCATTTATCTTTTAATATAAGTGATTTTTTTTTTGATTGCACCTTTTTATTAGATTCACTTTGATATTTGGGGTCCTGCCCCCACTCTTATTGAGGGGGGATCTCATTATTTTGTTATCTTCGTTGATGACTATTCTTGTTATACATAGCTATACTTGTTATAGCATCGATCTGAGCTTGTTCGTGTTTACCAAACTTTTCACAAAATGGTACAAACTCAATTTTCTCATACCATTAAAGTTTTTCATTCAGATAATGCCATAGAATAATGACAAAACTCTCCATGAGTTCCTAAATCAACAAGGCACATTGTCACATCGTTCTTGTCCCTATACATCTTAACAAAATGGTCGTACATAATGAAAACATCATCATATCCTTGATACTGTAAGAGCTCTTTTACTTTCTGCTTCTTTAACTGAAAAGTTTTGGAGTGACGCTGCTCTTACTACTATGTACACAATCAATAGGGTACCCTCACCTATACTTCACAACAAATCTCCTAATGAGCTTCTCTATGGTATGGTTCCTAACTATTCCTTACTTCATGTCTTTGGTTGTGGTTGTTTTATTACTCTTCCTACTCATGAACTAACCAAACTTGAACCCTGTTCTCGGTTATGCTATTTTCTTCATTATGGCTTAACTCAAAAAGGTTATCGTTGTTATGATCCTATCTCCAAATGTCTTCGAGTATCTCATCATGTAGAGTTTTGGGAACATAAACCATTTACTAGCATATCCATGTTCTCCCCTTCCTCCTCTAACCACTCACTCATATTCACTGATCCCTCTATTGCTCTATTTTTTGACTCTTTTGTAGAGATTCCGAGCTCTTCAGACAGTTCTTCCACTGTTGCACCCAATCTAGTTGATGCGTTTGATGGACCACCTGCCACACCACCCACTCTTCCGTCTTCTCCCCTTTATGAATCTTGTCATTCCAATTGGGTAAGTGTTCCTCCTACTCATCTTCATGATTATCATTGTTTCTTTGTCCTTGCCACCCTCCACGAACCTCACAATTATCATGAGGCTCATATTGACCCTCTTTGGCAGCAAGCTTTGTCTGTTGAATTGAATGCTCTTGTCAACATATATACCTGGGATCTGGTGGACTTGCCTTATGGTAAAGCTGCAGTGGGATGCAAGTGGATTTATAAATCAAGACTCGAGCAGATGGATCAATTGAACTCTACAAGGCTTGACTTGTTGCTACGGGGTTTACCCAGGATTATGGGATTGACTATGAGGAGACTTTTGCTCCTATTGCTAGACTTATCTCTGTCAGATCTTTACTTGCAGTTGCTGCTGTCCGGCGTTGAGAATTTTTTCAAATGGATGTTAAAAACACCTTCCTTAACAGTGATCTTACTGAAAAAGTTTACATGCAACCTCCACCTGGCTATAAGCATCCTCCATATAAAGTTTGCCATCTTTGTCATGCACTTTATGGGCTCAAACAAGCTCCTCGAGCTTGGTCTGAGAAATTTTAGTTAGTAGTTTCTCAACAAGGCTTTCTTTCTAGCCCATATGATTCTGCACTCTTTCTTCGCACTACTGGGACAGGTACTATCTTTCTTCTTCTCTATGTAGATGATATGATTATTATTGGTGATGATATTGCTAGAATTCGAGATCTTTAAGCTTTTCTTAGTCAGAATCTTGAGATGAAGGATTTGGGACATCTTAACTACTTCTCTGGCCTTGAAGTTACTTCAAATTAGGACGGATATTATCTCACTCAAGCAAAATATGCCTATGATTTACTTTCCAAAGCTGGGTTGACAATAGCAAGATAGCCACTAGTCCACTTGAGTATAATACTAAGCTTCTAGCCACTGACGGTTCTCCACTTGCAGATGCAACTCTTTATTGACAGTTAGTTGACAATCTCATTTATCTTACTATAACTAGGCCTGACAGTTCATATGTTTTTCATCTGGTCAGTCAGTTTATGAATGCACCTTGATCTACCCATTTTGCTACGATTCTTTGAATTCTACGCTACATCAAGGGTACTCTGTTTCATGGCCTACGCTTCTCATCCTACTCCTCTCTGGAGGTACAAGCCTATTCTGATGCAGATTGGGCTGGTGATCCTATTGATCATTGCTCCACCACTGGTTATTGTTTCTTACTTGGCATGGCGTAGTAAGAAACAATCTGTTGTTGCCCGTTCTAGCATTGAGGCTGAGTATCGCGCTCTTGCTGATACAACATCTGAACTTTTGTGGTTACACTGGCTTCTGAAAGATATAGGTGTTCCTCAATCAATATGTTCTCCTCTTTGCTGTGATAATCATAGTGCCATCCAGATTGCACATAATGATGTGTTTCATAAACGTACTAAACATATTGAGATTGATTGTCACTTTATCTATTATCATCTTTAGCAAGGTGTCCTCTAGTTACATTCAGTTTCTTCTGAAGATAATCTTACTAATATTTTTACAAAATCCCATCCACCTAGTCAATTTGGTAATCTTGTTTCCAAACTCCAGTTGACTTCGCCACCAAGAGTTTGAGGGGGGATGTTAATATATATATTAGTATCTTATAATATCCCTAGAATATATGATTATTCCTGTAATTAAATGTTAGTATATATATTAGTATCTTATAATATCCTTAGATTATATAATTTTTCTTGTAATTAAGCTATAATATCCTGTAATTATGCCAGGTTAGAATCTTTTCATATAGTGTATTTTCTTATTAACTTTGGCCTTCTCCACTATATATAGAGGTCTTCTTTGTATAGTTTAGACACATATAAATTACAATTAGTTTTTGATGGATTTTTCCTGTCTATTGACATCGTCCAATGATGTGATGGGAGTGTCACATCGGGTTTGTGATAGAAAGTTTGTGAGATTCGTTAATCAACGTAATATTATCCTAAAATTAAACAAGGTTTTTTTTTTTTTTCTTAAGTGGGTTGGTGTATATCATGTTCTCCCAAAATTCATTTTCACAGCCCCTTTTTTTAATGAAAATATATATTACTAAATTGTCTTAAATGAAATAAACTAAAAGAACAAAATAAATGAATAAAAAAAATATTATATTACTAAATTAGCATGTTAAAGCTAAGACATGTTTTAGCCTTCAGAAATGATTTAATTCTTCTTATTGGATGAAATTATAACTTTTCTCTGACTTTACATTCTTAGATAATTTATACGAAAAGATTTCATGCATGGATCATGATGTTAGCCGGGGGAACTTAAAAATAGTGTTTTCATATAACTATATTTAACAAAAAAAAAAAAAAGTTAGTCAAAGCAAAAGCAAAGCACATATATATGCTAGCTTAAAGATACAAAATCAATCTTCAGGCATCATCGAGGGCTAAGCTCAGTAATTGAAGCCGTGTTCAACGACAACTGGAAATTGTTTGATTGATCCAATGCCGATGATTCTAAATTATCTGTCGTTGTGCTGGAGTGCATAAAAAATGCAGGTTTTGATGGTGTTGGCAGGGAAAGGGTGCCACCAGTGAGCATGTGAACTACTAAAGCCATTGTAGGTCTATTGGCTACATTTTCTTGAACACAAAGCAACCCAATGTGAATACATCTCATCATATCTCTATTGGAGCCAGCACTCAAGTTGGGGTCTATTAGATTCGCAGCTTTACCTTCAATCCAATTTCTCCATGCCTACAAATTTTGACAAAGACAACGTGGTCAATGACCACATTAATACTTATCACTTGATCCAAAAATTGAAAACCATTATCAAAGGTACAACAATAATATTTAAGTCTAACATATTACTTAGAGGGTCGGAAAACTTGGAAAATATTCCTATTGAATTTACTTACGTAGGGTAATAATCTTCTGGTTCCTCTTCGGTAGGAAACGAACTATTCTTTTGACCACTCATGATTTCTAGGACTAACAACCGAAGCTGAAAACATCGGACTTGGCTGAGAAGTGTCCATATTTATATACTCTGGAGCCATATACCACTAAAATTGGACTCAATCAAATTTTATTTTGTAACAAAACCAACATATCATGCTTGATCATAAGCATATATTATTATTAATTATGTTTTTGCATATAGAATAAACTTGATGATTCTTGAGTTGTTTATGTTATCTATAATAAAATTACAAAGTCCCAGCAATTCTACTGTCTAGCCTTGAGTTTCATCAATTGCCAACACTTTGCCATTCCAAAATCTGAAACTTTGGAGTCATGCAATATCTAAAAGAACATTGCTGGCTTTTAAGTCAAGATGAATGATACGAAACCTAGAATCCTCATGAATATAAAGAATTCCTCGTGCTGTGCCCTTTATGATTTTGTATCGCATCTCCCAATCCAATAATAAACGTTGGGTTGGATCTGCAAACTCATCAATGCCATATAAGTAAATTACATTAATGGAATAAATACTCTTTTCTTACAAACAGAAAGCCAAAAGTAGGAATTAACATACCAATATGAAGTTATCTAGACTTGAATTTGGCACAAACTCATAGATGAGAAGCTTTTCGTTTCCTTCCAAACAAATCCTAGAAGTCTAACCAAATTCTATGTTGAAGTTTGGCCATCAAGAGGACCTCATTTTTGAATTCTGTTTCTCCTTGTGCAGAACCTATATCCAACCTCTTGACGGCTACTTCCTGCCATCAAGAAGCCTACCCTGAAAAGAAATTTTTAATTTAACTCATTTTTATAACAACTGATATTCATTATTTTGGTTAGTGATTAATTACTTACCTTATAAACAACACCAAATCCACCACGTCCAAGCTTATTATCAATTGAAAATTATTTGTTGCAACTCTGATAGTGCTGAGTCAAAGCAAGGATTCCACATTATCATCGTCTTAAAACAACAATAACACAGTTGAGTTAATCAGTGTTTGCTCTTATATAACCTCACTACTACTACAAAACTACATTTAGAGGATGCTTAAAAGAGTCTTTTAATTCAAAATATTCTCAATATATAACCTCTTTAGATGGTTAATAAAAAGGGTTACACTACAAACTATAATTTTGACACAGTTTTTTAGCAATTGTTCATTACAATCCAAACGGCTAGGAGTTGATGAGGTGGTAAACAAATAACTACCTTCAGTTTCCTTCTCATATCCTTATCTATTACACATGTATTCCAATTTAAGAAAATTTTATGTACTCTAACCTAGCCCAATAAAAATTAAAAAATTTTCTACAAATGGAGTGCCATGTCATTATAAGCAAGATACGCTACCCTAATGATTGGAGTCCGATGTAAAGAGATTTTCTTAAAAAAATTTGTCTATTTTTCTAATGACGATTGCTTTTGAAATTACTTTTATGCTAATATTTTGTAGAGTTAGTGTATTTAATACAGTAATACTATACATACAAAGTCCTTTTAGAAAGGAATAATACTATATGTGAAAACTCTTATACAAATTTACCCATACATACTAATGTGTTTATGTAATTGAATGATTTAAATTATTGATGATTTAAACAGATTAGGTATATGATGTATTAAAAACATGGGTTGTCACATTGTTTATAAGTTATAATTTGTATAATTAGTTTGTACATGTAACATTACTCTTCACAAAGAAATAAATACAAAGTGATGTGGCATTACTATTTAACTTACATATCAATTAATGAGTGATTATTATATATCTTGTATCACTTACATTTTTTCATATCATTTCATATACATCTTTGTATGAAGATTTATAAGCAATATTGTTCCATGTAATGTAAAAATTAAGAGTGATTTTCAAAAAAGATATAAATTTTAAGATATTCATAAAAGACCCTTTTCCATTAAGGTTAATAGTCTTCTTTGTAAAGTATGTTAAAACTAAATTTAGAAAACTACAAGCTAACTAATTAGAAAGTCTTTGATGTGCGTATATCTATGCACTAACCAATCATGAACACAACTAGAAAAAATCTGAATTATTGAGGTACCACATCATTCATATTATCATTTAGTGATTTGTTCACCTCTGAGTATTTTCTCTCATCTATCTTTAGATTGATTAATTGTGATTTGTAGTTATTAATGCAATAACCAGTTAGCATGTATGCATTAATTTATGTTACCACATCAACAATACCACTATAGTATCGCACTCGTTCATGCATGATTAGCTGGTGTAAATAGAATGTACATACTACAGAGACTTTCTTGTAATCTATTGACCTTCTACTGCTCGCTACCTCATCATTCGCTTTTTCTTTCTTGTTCTCCTCCAAAGAAAAGTGAAGGCAACAAGTGATATGAAGATAACCGTAGAAACAACGTGATAAAAACGGTCTTAGATGTAATGCCTCCTTCTCTGCATACATAAGCACAAAAATAAGTAAAATAAAAATAAACAAGGTTTCATGGTCAAAACATGATGATGCTAAGGAAATCAAATCGGAATATCATGAAAAGATACCCATCCATCTTTCATGCCATATGTACATTTAAAAAAAAGAAAAAAAAAAAAATACAAACTTCAATATTAGTGAGACTATAACTGATTTATTGACATCATCTATACAAAATACAAAATTCACCAAGATATTTTTTGAACTAATATAATATTGAGCTCTCACCTATTAATTTAAACTTTTACTTAAGTGATGACTTAACATAACATCGGAGGCAAAGATGTAAAGTCTCGTATTCAATTGGATAAAGAAAACGAAAAGAATTCAAATTTCATTGAAAGCTCCTAGGTGATATGCTTATACGTAAATCTGACCCTATCATTTAAAATATACATTTATTAATTTATATATATACCTTTTGATCATTTCCTTAGCGTGAACTGTGGCGGAGGAGGAGATGGGGATGGAGCAGCAGGAGAGCTAATAGAATGGACTCGAATCCCATTTATAAACACAGCTAGGTTCACAGTAAGGCAACCGGCTTTGCCATGGTAGTGGGCGTTCACAAAGCACAGATTGACGGAGACAAGAATCACAATCACTTTCTGAAATATCAGGAGTACCACTGCATAAGGGCATAAATCTTCACAAAGTCAGTCAAACTCGCATCTCCAGTTGCTAACTTTTTCTAGAATTATTAGAGCCAGTAGAAGCTTTTTTCAACAACCGATTCTCAAACTCTCAAGTCTGATCAAACTGTGTCATGTTCATTGTCATATCAGTCTAGAGCCGCCTCCCGCATGGGATCCGCCATTTTTCCAAAAATCGAACGGGCTGAATAGCGTACAATGCATTGAGACCATCCCCCATGCAACTGCTTCTTTCTGGTTCAAACATTGCCTCGTGATATCTTCGGCCGCAAAACTGACACCACTGACACACTTTCTGCAGAAAGATCTCCTCTACAAAGAGCAAGAGCATAAAACTTTGTCAGGCTCTTGGCGACACTTGCAATGTAAAAAAAACCACATTGTAGAGTGACATTAAGAGCAGGGATGAGAGGATGAGGTTCCTGTTCTTCATAAGTGCTATTACTTGTGAATTCCCGACTCATCAATACATAGTTGCTCTGGTAACAAAAATATGATTTAAAAGCATACAAGAAACTAAACAAAGCAACCATGTAAAACCCATTTTGGGTTATGCATGTTTTTAATAATTTTAGTTGGTAAAAATGATATAATAACATACAATATATACAGACAATATAGATGTACAATGGTCATATTCATCCATCATGTTCATTTTTTTTTTTGGGTAAATTTAATATGGAGCCAATGAAGCATGGCTTTTGACTAATATTCCAATAGGATTGGACTCTTCTAATCTAATATATTCAATGAAGGTGATTGGCAATGCCATTATGCATATTTAAAGGCTTGGTAATTGCTAGGATAAATTAATCGATATTTAATTTATGGATGGGTTTTGTTTATGTTGACATACTGGTGTAATATTCATGAATCGGAAGAATTCCCTAAACAAATTATAATGAGATTATTTATCATGAAATAAATAGAAATTGTAATATACAAAATCAACTAGGTTGTGATTGGTGATATTTTACCACTCAATTTTTGTCAATAACTAAAGGTAAAAAGAAAGAGAAAAAGATGAAAGAGTGATTGATTGGGGCAGAGGGAGGAAAACAAATAAATTACGATGACTATTGGTAAGGAAGAATCAATTCCATACCACCTAACTAGACCTGGCAAAAAGGGTCTGGACCCGCAGATTGGACCGTACTCGGATAAAAAATATAGGGTAGGGTCTAATTATTTAAACCCGTTTTTTTAGACCCGTACCCGGTCAAAAATACAGGGTTTATACGGGTGAACCCGCGGGCACCCGTATTGCAGTAATGAATTTTTTGAATCCTAATTTTTCACGCAGATTGTAGCAGTCACGCACTCAAGCTCTCACTCTCCACACTCCTCATCTCCTGATCTCTCACTCTCATCTCATCTCTGATCTTCAATGCTTTGTGTTTGTGTTTTGGTTTATTTTCTTCTCTTTTTTAACTCTAACTATAGCAACACAAGCTTGCTTTTTTTTCTCTCCATGGAGATTTTGTGTTTGTGACACTTCAATCATTTTAAACCCCATCAGTTTTCTCTGCTTCACATTTCCATTGTTTTGTACCATTAACTTACTTATACTGGTAAAGTATATGTCTTTCTTTTCTCTCTCTCTTTCAGACTTTCACTCCACACTTGAACACATATCACTTGGGCTACAGTTTCTTCTTTTGGTTACTGAAAATGAAAGCCTTATCCTTCTCTTTATAATAAGTTGTGCTATTTGGTTAGTCTTTGCACGAAAAGATCTTTCACTTCTCTTGTTCATTGTTTGTTTCATTATTGAATTCAAGTGGAGTGTGCGTCAAAGTTTAAAGCTTTTTGTTCGTATCTGTCTGCGTTCTTGTGCTGCTGCTTTTTCTAATGTTTTTCTTTTTTGGTGCATTTGATATCTCAGGGACTAAGTTTCTTGACTGTTTGAGCTTTCAAAGAAGGACTTTTGGCTTTTCTTTTGTGGGTTCTGGTACTCTCTAAGTTTTAGTAAAGTTCTTCAATGGATACTCTTGAGGGGTGAAACTGTTTGAGGATTTTAAATTTAATTAAGCTTGGTGTTTGGGTAAAGTGTTTAAAGAAAAAGTTTAAATTTGTTGCTTGAATTGAAGTGTGTTGGGTTTTGTGCAATTTAATGGAGTCTTGGAGCCATGTTTCTGGGGGAAAGGACTATCACAAATGATACAATTTCACCTTCGGATCTTCTGCAAGAAGTAAAAACATATTGATGGGCTGGGAATTGAAAAGTTTGGTTAAAACATATTAGTCTCAGGTCAACACAAAGCTATTGAGAACCAAGGTTTAGTGAATTTGGTATTCAAGAATTGGTGTATAGGGGTGAAATTAAAAACTAAAATCTGGAGAGGGAGAGTACCGGTCCACCCGCGGGGCCACCCATACCCATAGGGTAGGGCACGGGTCCAACATTTTGGACCTGTATATCTCGACGTATAAGAACCGTACCGTTTAACCTGTACCGTTTGACCGGATCGTACCTGGCCACCCCATCCGTTTTGCAAGTCTACACCTAACTGGATCAGTTTTACATTGATTATTGTCAAGGTTTTGATCATAGTCAATAACTAGATGAAACTTGCTTAGTAATTAAGATATATGATCCAAGAAAACACCTAAGTTGCAAAAATAAGCATAAGATAACAAGAATAATAGTGCTCACGAATAATTTCATAAAACCAAAGTAATTTAAGAAAAACTTATACAAGACATTCTCACTTTAATTAATACGATGAGATTATTAATGAAATAATACCTTGTAATTTTATCAAACCGTCACTATAATTTAACTATAACCATCCTTTATTGTTTATCTATAACCATCTTATGGGTGGTATTGAAATCTAACAACATAGATCATTGTTTCATTGGACATATAGTATGAAAAACCTTAAACCAATCGAAAAGAAACATGTGACAATATTATATTACAAACATCAAACCACATAAGACAAAACTTGTTTTTTTCTATTGAATCTTCTTAAACATCAAACTTCTCTGATCACTACATAGCAAATTTAGTCCATATTGAAATCTAACAACATATGTCATTGTTTTATTAGATATACAGTATGAAAAACCTTAAACCAATTGAAAAGAAACATATGGCAATATTATATTACAAACATCAAACCACAAAAGACAAAAACTGTTTTTTCTATTAAATCTTCTTAAACATCAAACTTCTCTGATCACTACATAACAAATTTAGGCCAACAAGCATTTGGTCGCTAGCAATATTTTATGAAATAAACTAATAGATTTCATGAATATCACGGAACTCAGAAAAGTATCTTTGACATGTCATGATAACTTCATTTACTTGGGGAATTCAAAGATTACATAACTTCCTTTTATAATTAAATATAAAGTGAGAAAGATGGAGTTTGGTAACGAAAGAAAAACGTCATCGCGCTCTATATATAAATCACCATAGGCGTTATGTCAATCTTGTAAAGACATGTATTATATATAGAGAAATAATGTTGTAGCTTTTTTGCTTTGATATCTAACCATGCATGTTTGTGCTTTGGTTTCTGTAACATCCCGCTCACTGTCAACATAAATAATTGGGCTCATGGTACGGCCCTCTTGGTATAATTGGGCTCACGACATGTCTTCTTAATTCGAACACAATACTTCATCCCTAATGTTCTTTCCAAGAATGAAGTCATGCATTGGAATCAAAAGAGACGCGCTCTTAACCCGCTATTTGAGGCAGATAAAAGGTAAATAATCCAATTATTTGAGCAGTAATATTACAAACAATATTTTTTATATAATAATATATAATAAAATATGATTGATTGATTTTAAATTAAAATTAAACTTTTACCTAATTATTTTTTGTCATAAAATATTGTATAAAAAATATTGTATTAGAATATTGTATGCGTAATATTATTCTTATTTGAGACGGGTAAGAGATAATTCCACAAAATTTTGGTGGTAGGTTGGGGTGTTACCGTTTCAATATTGAAAAATTATAAATGTAATTATGTATAATTGTGGGCAAAGTTTTTTAGCCCCATCAAATTTGATCAGTATCCTATTGCTAATTACATATTTAAAAAATTAAAAAAAATATATTTTTGAACCCCATATAATACTGAAAGTAGCCTTGCTTAATTAGGATTTTTGTTTTTCACTCATTTTCCTCAATTTCAAACTTAATTAGGGTTTTATTTACACTAATTTTCCCCAATTTCTGAACTAGGTTTTTTGTTTAAACCTCTTTTTCATGGGTTATTATGTCATGGCCAAAGGGAGATTACTTTATTCAACGTCAAATTCCAGATTTGGAACTTTGAATTTGTAGTAGCAATTTCATGGATTCATTGGAATTGAATCATGAAATTGTCAACTCATAATTCTTGAAATGAAATCCACCAATTGGTCTTCATTCACTACAAAAAAAACTACATT